CAGTTCTTCGGCAATGGTTGAGCGATCGAAAGGTCTCGGCCAAGATGGCTGGTGCTGGGTTAACTCGTTTAGAAAGTTGCTCAAATAGTTCCACCACGGCAGCGTCAATGCACCCCAAAGCCTTCGGAAATATGATCAAACCGTACAGACCCAGTGCAAAAAGGTCTATAGTCTTCCACTCATCAGGGTGGTTTTTCATTAGTTGCTTTATATGGATCCACTCGATTCCTTCCCCGCTACCTTTGTGCCGGAGTCGATCAGTCACCCACTTTTCATCAACCCCTGCAATCTTGGCTAGTCCGTTCTTGAAGGGCTGACTCTTGATATGTTTAATATATGCCCTTTCTAGTTTGATGCTTTCGCAGTGCAGTAGAGTAGTATACTCTTCGATAGTAGGCACCATGTCTTCCTGGTTAAAGGTGAAACAACTATATCCCGGGTTCCAGAATTGAATTAATGCTCGGAGTAAGGGCTCATCAGTCTTGACATGGAGCAAGAGGGCGATATCACCATATCGTTGGTTGAACTTCTGCTTTCTGTCATTCTTCCAACTGTCCCAAATGTTTCGCAGCTCTTGGACATCATTCTGTTTCAGGCTGACAGCGGCATAACTAACCAGTTCTGACACATAGTTTCCCTGAAGACTGTCTCCCTTCTCTTTCTGAGCCTTTTCGGACCATAGTCGTGCCTCAGCGTTTTCAATCTCTTATATTACAACACCTTTGTCCATTAATTCGAATTATTTTGTGTATAACAAACGCTTTTTAGGGATCAATAGCCTCTTGTAATGATGCAAATGCTAGAAAACAAACACAAACGCAAAAACGTTAGTAAAAATAAAAATACAAATAAAAAAAATGACGGAAGGAAAAAGCGCAACAAAAAACATGGTTAGGGTAAAAAAAATCCTAAGTTTTGGAACGTGGTTTCGGGGTAGGCTCTAATTCTTCATGGTCTCCCGGTTTAGGTTTTAAAAAACGGTACCCGAGTTCTCCTTGTCGGTGCCCCCTTGGGCTTGCCAGACCCTTAGTCCTAAACCCATCACAGGCTTGTGTGAACTAAGTTAAACTCGAGGGGACACATTCCCTTATGCCCGCACGGTGAATAAATTCACACGAAGACATAAGGTATATGAATCCCGAAGGCTACTTGCTAGGCCCGCACGGTGAATAAATTCACACGAAGGCGTCGCTTTCACCCCCACTTAAAATAGGAATTGGAGCTCGGGTATAGAGCCTTAGTTGAAAAAAAAAAACTTTGAAGTCTGAAATCATGAGAAAACGATTAGTCCAACTATTTACTCGAAAATATAATCAAAAGTAAGTAAAAAGGATCGAAATATTACCTTAAAATTTAAACTTACCATTTTCGTTAAAAAGACAATTGGAAATTACCTTAGCCTGACTCACTTACCTGTTCCCCAGCGGAGTCGCCAAGCTGTCGCAACCGTCTTTCGGGTGGACCCGGAGTTGGGCTTCGACTTAAATTGATTGGGTTAGAGTCGCCACCGATCATTTATTTAAAAATAAATAGGTAGATCGGATACCTCATTTCTTACCTGATCTGCGTCTTACCAAAGATGTGTCGGATTCGGGAGTCGGTTACAGTCAAGGAAGGGTTAGCACCCTTGAACTGCCCTTTCGGTACTACTTAATTTCCAGTTGTCTTTAATTAAGAAAGTTATAAATCTAAATTAAAAGGTAAAATAACGACCCAAAATTACTTACCCTTGATTAATTGAATGAAGGCCATTAAAAAACGTTACGTTTGGAGGGGTGAAAATAAATAAGATATAACAACCACAAAACCAATGATACAAATAAGAGGAGACAATACAAATAAACTAATGATAAATAAGATAGATAAAGGAAAAGAAAAAATACTAAATAAATGTATATATACATATATGCATGAATAGCAAAAAAACATACAAACAAAGAAATGAAAACTATATAAAAAAACAAAGGAATACAAATAAAACATGTATTAAATAAAAAGGAAACGCAATAGAATAAAAATAAATAAAGTAAATGAAAAAATAAAGAATATACATATAATAATAAAAAAAATATACGTTTATATACGCCATCAATAATACTTAAATAATAAAAATAATTATGGTTATGTATATATATATATATGTATATATATATAAATATAATAAAATAAAATAAAAATATACATAAGATATATATATATAAATAAGGGAGTAAAATATAATAATAATGAAAATATAATATATAATAATAGTAGGGATTAAATTGAAAACGAAATAAACTCAAGGGTCAATTTACAAGGATTTCAGGTTCAATAATCGATTCAGAGGACCAAATTAAATGTTTTTGAAACTGGAGAACCAAAACGCAAATCTCTCGCTTCTTGCAAAAACACGCGGGTCCGAGGTTCATCGGGTCGGGCATAAGCTGGAACGGGTTTAATATATGACTCAAACATTTTTTTTAGTTTCATTTCTCTCCTCACAAATCAAAAGCTCTCCTTCCCTCTCCGAAAAACACTCTCAAGTGTTCTTCAGAAAATAAGAACACGGCCGGATTCTTCAAGAATCCAGAAACCGACCGCCCTATGCCGCCTCGCCGCCGCCGTTGAACGGCGACGGCTGCCGTTCATCGGCGGCAAAATCAAAAGATTTTTTTACTTTTCCGAATGCTTTTCTTCTCCTCGTTTTGAAAATCAAGTTGGTTTTTCAAAAAAAAAAAAAGGCCTCGGGTTTTCGTAGATCTATACAAACGATCTCGAACGAAGACATCTTTTCATCGGCCAAAAGATTTTTTTACTATCAACTCAAAACAACACGATGGACGATAAGTTTGACATGCAAAGGATCAAGCGAACGAAAAGGTAAACAACAATATACCTCGCTTTTATTTCTTGTTTCGAAATGTTGTACAAGTGTTCTGACTTTCTTTGTGCTTGCTATGGTGACTTTCTATGTGTATTCGCCGTAATCCTAAACTTGTGTGCTTTACATAATATTTATAGCCCAAAAATGGCTATTTTTAGAGTTTAAATTAGAGTAAAACACTGATGTTGGTTGTTGTTGCTTGTTTCTTTGCGTGGCCGAGAGTCCCGGTCGTTGGAGGCGAGACGTGCGGTGATGGGGGTCTTAGAGCGACGTGATAGCCCTGGAGTCTTGGTGATGCGGCGCTGGATGGGAAAGCTGCTAGGGTTCTGGGAACCCTAACTCCAGTGGGTCACGTGTGCTGGACTTGGTCCACTGTTGGGCCAGCAGATTGGTCTTGTAACCTAATTTTGGTCCTGTAATATGCAAGAAATAAATAAAATTAATACTAATATATATATGTAAATATTATAAAAGTGTGGAGACGAAATTATGTGTCTACAGTTGGTGATCTTTCAATAGTTAAATCCTTTGTTATTATCGACCTAGTGTTCGAGTTTTTTTGGATGGGGTTTTCATATTTTTCTTGTATGGTCCTGATCTTAAGTGGTTAGTTTTTTATGTTAATGGTTATAAGAAAATATCCTAATTTATATTTAGTTTATGAATTTAATTATAAATACTCATTATATTTTATAATTTTTTAATAAAATTAGCTGTTTTTATTTCTATAAAAAAGCAAAATAAATCTAGGTCAAAATTCGATATTGATATCAATTAGTCACTATCAATACCAAATAGGAAATATTAATATTACAATGTACTACTAAAATTCCGAATTTGATTTTAATATTTTGAATTTAGTATTGATACTAAAGATTATAGTATCAATATCTAACCCCTAAAATTGATATTTTTTTTACATATTTTCACTCGTAAACTATTTAGGGTCGTATGTTCTAGGATATGTATAATTTATTTATTTATCATATTTTAATGCTTTTCAATGGTTTCGCTGCAATATTAATGGTGTGCATAATATTTTTTTTTTAACTATTTCTATCTAGGGAAGAGGAGGAGAATTTTATTTTTAATGAGTATTGAACTCACAACATAAAGAAAGGGGAGGTGTCATAAGTTAAATTCAAGTTACTTAGATGACTAATATGACACTTTAATTGACTCAGACCATTCTATGACACTTTAATTGACTGGAACCCCATTAGCTAAATTTGTGGATAATTATGGCTAAACCTAGCAATCTGATGTTTCACAATAAAGTGATAAATGGAATTACCATTAGCATACTAATAGGACTATGGGTTTCCAGCAAGCCACCGCTGCATCCATTTCATTAGAAATTGATGATCTTTTAATGATACATTCTAAGGGATGACTAGTCCAAGAAGTTGAACAACAAAGTTAGATTCTAGAAAAACACTGATGTTTTGGAAATGTACAGCAGTGAAAATTATGCCAATCTATTGAGATATAGTATGCTATAAGTGAATATTTGCGACAAGAAATGAAGCATATTTTAGGATGACTGACCCGTATATAACCATGAAAGGCATGGGTATCACAAATTGTAACATGCAAGCGAAGCCACAAAGACTAGTGGTGTATTCGGTTCGGTTCGATTCGGTTTTTTACCAAAAATTGAACCGAACCGAAATAAACGGGTTTTCAATATTTAAACCGAAACCGAATAGTTAAAAAACCGAAAAAACCGAAACCGGTTTTTTCAACGGTTCGGGTTTTTCGGTTCGGTTTATCGGTTTTTCAATAAAAAAAATCACTTGAAACTATAATTTTTTTTACAAAAATTGCCTATTCGGTTCAATATGGAACAAATGGGTTCCATATGGAAAACCCGAACCGAACCGAATCAAAAAAATGAAGCCTTTAAACCGAACCGAAAACCGTTTAAAGCCAAACCGAACCGAACCGTTTTACTCGGTTCGTGTCGGTTTTTCGGTTTTCGTTGCTCAGCCCTAACAAAGACTGCCCCCCCCCCCCCCGAAAAAATAATAATAATAACAAGGAATGGAAGAAGCAGCAATTTATGATGAAATAACAGAAAGTAATAACTAAAGCAAAAGATCGAATAAACAAACTGAAAAGGATTAGGACTGCCAAGTATGCTTTTATTACAACTATTTATTGAACCTTTTTACCTTGTTTTGGTGGCAAAATTTGGCTCTACACCATGCGGTAAAGGATCACGAACCCCCTTAAGAAATTGCAGTCAAGAAAAGGAAGAGTTTAGTCTCTAAGTTCTATATAGCACTTTTGCACCCTATCATATCTTTTGGGTTCCTTGATCACCGACAGAATCACCGGTGGTTGCCAAGCCTCGAATCTTAACATCATAATAGACCTCTTCAACTTTTCTTAGGTCATACTTCATACCTACAATAATGAGAAAGCATTTTATAATACTCGGGTCTATGTTAAGAAGATTAAACTTACTATCGAACTTCTTGCGCAGGAAATCATTCCGGAGATTAAGCATCCGAAAGGCTGCATGAAGATCTGTCAAGAACTTCAACACCTTTCTTGGGCAATCATAGTCACCAGCAGTCACTTGGTTCACCACATACCTCGGCTGGAATGAAATACAACGCATGTTATGTTAAGGGATTTTCCCACATTTTCCCAATTACTTTAGTGGTAGGTAACTAACAAATCATCGACATCATCATCAGAGAGTCAATTTATACAAATGATCCGTTTGGAATTATCACATACATTCTAACAAGTTCTCTGTAATTTTTACTTTCACCAAACGCCTGACTAAAAAACATGAGAAGAATAGAGCAGCAAGAAAACGTTAGCCAGTTCAAAAAGTCTGAGACTGCAAGTTCCTGACATAGTTCTTACCATTTCATTTGACATGAAACAAATACCTGCATGATGAGAAACACATTCCCTGATCAGCATACTCAATGGGCAGAAAAATAATAACCCCCAAATTTAGATGCTAATTAAATGGCATGTCATGTGTCTTGCACACACAAGAACAGAATAATAACAGTAAACAGAAATAATGAAGAATCAATAATGCTTCATTCAGTTCATCAATAAATGGAACCAGCATAGTTTACTAAAGTATCAATTGGTATGATGAGACAGCCTCCATTTCAATAAGAATCAACAAAAAAATGGAAAACTGAAGTTCGGTTAACTGGCTACTTTTTGTTGTCAACTACATTTAATTTTTATTCAGTAACTAGAATAGTGCAGGATTGTTGACGAAAATCGAAGCATTGTAAGATTTTTAAAAAAATTATAGACACAATCCATTAGATAATAGAACCCAGCAACTTATTCTTTGAAGAAAGAAACTCTCAACACTTACCAACAAGATAATCCTCCAGATCTAAAGCAAAATCCGAATCATTCACTGCCAAAACAACCAATATTCTCAATTAAATTCATTAGCAAAGACAAAAATTACTCGCAACACAGAAAAAAATTCATTATTGAAACATACATCCAAGCTTTTCCTCTGCTTCAGCATGCACAAGCAGATTTCCAGTTTCCAACCAATGCATAAAGGCAAGCAAAGAAACTACCATTTGAGTTTCACTCCTCCAATCTCCATGATATCTAAGCACACCAAATATATCACAAAATATTCAACATAAAATGAAATCTGAAAGTAACAAAAACCTTAAAGTCAATCTCACCTGTAATATTGTCCAGGGCATTCCCTAACAACTTCAGCAAGTTTACTGTAAAGATCCTTTAGAACATTATTCTGAGTATTTGCCTTCTCTAAAACCTCTATTAATATATATAGGTAAAATTAAAAATTAGGTAATATTCCTAAATTCATATAAATTAAAAAGAAGAAGAAAAAGAAGAATGTTACGGGGTATTGGTATAGATTGGTGAACGAGGAGGAGGCTAGCTTGCATGAGACGAGTAGACGACTCGATTTCCATAACTACGGTACGTATGCGTTCACGTAAGGTGCCGGAATCTTCTAGCTGGACTCGGAACTTCTCGAACTGCATCTCCAAGGGAGGAGATGTTAGGGGCGAGTAGGAATCACCGCCGGCCATGGAAGTGGAACAGAGAGAAACGCGGGGAGGAAAACAAGAAGGAAGGCTTCTGGAAACGCCGGAGGGAAGGGAGCAAATAGAGGAAATGAAGGGTACAAAGTGAAGAATTGACGGGTTAGGGTTTAAGGAATGACGATAGAGAGCAATGCAGTAAGCGTTTCCAAAAGCTGATTTCATAATTTGAAATTGCCTAATTTCTGTCATTTTATTCATTCTTTTATACGTGGGGGTGCTCTGCATCTAATTGGTAACGAAATTGGATAGGTCGGATTTTTTTTTTTTTTTGCTCCAATTTGATTTCAACCTGAAATTTAGAATCTTTTATTTGATTTTGATTTTTTATACTTCATTCGTTTTAAATTTTTGGATGAAAATATGTTTGATTTATTTAGTTAATTTTAAATTTGAGATGTATTTTTTAAATTTAAATGTATATATTTGATCAATTAATCGGTTATTTCGGATCAAACTTTACGAAGAATTATTATGGGACGATTTCTTTAACTCAATAAATGTCAAGATTTCAACTTTTGACTTTGTTTAAAAATTTTAGTATTTTATCCTACTAAATTAAATTATGGTCAATAAATTTGTAATGTTTTGATAAGTTTATAATTATATGGTTTGAATTTAGGGAAAAAAATTAACATGACCTAACATTACTAATTAGTTTAAATTATTATATATATATTTATATTTGATAACTTATGTTAAGATCCGTTGTAGTCTAGTTGGTTAGGATACTCGGCTCTTACCCGAGAGACCCGGGTTCAAGTCCCGGCAACGGAATAATTGTTTTTCTTATTACTTTTTTTATTTAATGCTAGATAGACCTTCGGGCTTTTTCTGGATATTTTCCTCTTAAAGAAGCAGGAAAATGGCTCAAATATAGTTTCATCTGATACGTCCATTATATGGGTAAAGCAAGTTAACCTACATTTTTCTCCTACCCTGCAATTTCTCTATACTGGAGCTAATGCATTCACCAGTAGAACCATGATCTCTCACACGTATTAAAGCAGACCAATGTACACAGCAGGCTCACAGGGTTAAAAATATCCATCGACTTTGTTCGTTTCAGTTCGAATCCGAGCTCCCCTCATTACCCTACTTCATAGGGCCTCATGTGTTCCAACTTCCACGGTTCTCTGTTTGTCCCAAATGTTGTTTCGATTTAGCCGTCTGTAATTTGCATTATCCAAAACTATAATTATGTTAGTTCGCATCAGTGATTAGGGTTGAATTGGACCACTTCTACGACCCTTGACATTTTAGGTAAGCCCCATGTTCTCATTTTCTATTCCATTTCTTCCGAATTTCATTTCAAACTTGGCTGGTAATTGCAGTTTATGATGAGCTAAGTGGCATACTTTTCATGGACAAATATTTTTAGCCGGACCTGAAAAGGAGGAATTTTTATCGAGGCCGCCTTCACCATCCGTTGTGCAGATTACAGAAGAACCTCTGGAAGCTCCAGAACTTCGCCCCGCTCCACAGGACATTCCAGTATTGACGATGAAGATCAGTCGTCAGGGACGCTTATTTGTTTCAAGAAGATGAATGGTTTTCCTTGGTACGTGTATAGTTTTTTTTCCTTTTTCTTTAGTACATATATATTTAATTTTTTTATTCAAATAGAAATAGTTAATTTTATTTAAAAAATGAAAAGTTGAAAATTATAATGAATGTTTATCATCATCACGTACAATTAGAATGTTTTCTACAATTATTGATACAAAAAAAAATTATTCCCATTAGATCATATAAGGATCATATAAGAAAAATGTTAAAAATCTATCTAAAAAATTCAAATAAAATATAGATACAACAGATCTGATTGCATCGAACAAACAAACCACAACAGGAGATCAAATTACTGAAAGACTATCGACAATTGCAAATCAAAGTCAAGTGTCATGAGAAAACTACCTTTGAATGCAAATAAAACGGTCAAACGACCAATAAAAAAGACCGAAAACGTGTCGAAAAAAACATAGAAAAACAAGTCATAAAGATAGAAAAACAAAGAGCAAACAAAGATATAATATAAAAAATAAATAATATTGGCGGCCGATGACCAAAACTAAGATTGATGTCGTCGTCCAATAAAGATGAGAAAAACGATAAGAGGTGCAAAAAATTTTAAAAATCCTCGCGCAAAGAAACTAGGGCAACTCTCAGTTAATTATTTTTTATGATATTTAATTCTATGATATATAGAAGAATTATAGGCATAAATGTTTATTTTGCTCAATTAATATTTTTTTTTTGGGCTAATACAGGATGCAGAATAAACATAAGCCTTGGCATAGCTTCTTGAATAATAAGGTTGACAGCTTCGAGAGGGGGTTCGGCAAATTGGATTTCCCCAATACTCTTCCGACGGGACATTGACGCTAACATATCGGCTACACCGTTTGCACCTCTCCGGATTAGTCTAAGGATGATCTCCCAAAGTCTTTCCAGCATCATTCTAATAGTATCAACCAAAGGGACATTGCATGAAGAGTTTGGATCATTGTTTAAATTTTTTTATCCGTATTTGATTTAACTTTAAACTTGATATGATTATTTTAGATCAAACCCGACATTTGATTTAATCCGAACCGATTTACACATGCGCGCGCGCGCACGCGCGCACACACACACATATATAGAATAATGTTACACAATGTAAAACTAAAAGCGTTTTACATAGATTTAAAAATATTGGATGAGTAAAAATATATGTATGAGATTAACGGTAAGAAATGAGAAATATTCACTAGAAAAAAAATAAGAGTTAATCTCAACCATCTATTTTAACTCATCTAACGATCCTAAATCTGTGTAAAACTAAAGAGTTTTACATTGTGTAAGTGGATCCTAACCTTACTTATATGAGTATTATTACAGTTATACCTAAATATATAAGATATGATTATAATATTTTCTCTAATCTAGTTGGATAAAAAAATACACTAAGTTCAAGCCCAACCCAAATATAAAATTTCAAAATAAAATTGATCAGATCGAATCGAATCGAATCGAGCAAAATCGAAACTACCAGTTTCAGGAGACATTGAGCATCCTTATAGGAAATAAAGAAAAGAAGAGAAGGTGACGAAGTTAATTTAGACTATTAGAGAGAGGCATATATGGTACAATTATGTAATTAAATAGAGGTATGATATTAAAACAGTGGTAGTTAGATAACGGTAAAATTTTTATTTAAAACTATTATTATATGATTGTAATATCCATAATAATAATAACACTCATGATTATTGTAATCGTAATAAACATGAAATATATTTCATAATCTCAAATTTTAATACTAAAATTGAATATTTTTTATTAATCTGAGATAAATATAAGATAATATATGTTCAAAGATAACTTTTAATCATTTGATAATAAACACTCATACCTCTAATATTTATGATGTTCAAAAATTTTAAAAAATAATAATAATTATTTTATTATTAAGATTGTTCGGTTCGTGTATATATTTTCTTTCTTTTGATGATCCTCAACCCCAACCCCAACCATCTTATCAATGATGGACCCAAATTGATCAGCACAATCACCTTTTTGACTCCCCCTATAAAAAGTTTTCAGATCCACACATGTTTTGATATTTATGATGTCTTATCAAATTATTACACACATTCAATAATCTTAATTTTCAATATTATATTTTCTGCATATGTTTCAATATTGTGAGTTCGAAAGTGAAACATGATGGGAGTAGTACTATACCTACGTATCCTGCAAAAGCAAGCAATGAAACTCCATGAAAACACCAAAGTTGAAAGATTGGGATGGAAGGGGCACCAAAATGTAGAAAGAAATTAAGAGGAAAAAAATACCAGTATGACAGCAGTAGGGAGGAGACCCATAACATAGGCAGATGTAACAGGTGCATACCTGACGATGTTGAAATATATTATAACAATATAGATAAATGCATGATTTTATTTTAAATGAATGACTTTATAAAATTTTAAAAGATGATGAACTTATAAAATTATAAAAAATAAAATTTAAATGTAAATAGAAAATTTAAAGAAAATATCTAAAATATATGATAATTTTAAATTAATTAAACTATACAAATGACCACTTAAGTATTGTCTCATTTTACTTTAGTTATTGATATTTCAATTTTATCAATCAAATCATCTAACTATTTAATTATGGCCAGTTAAGTAATATTTGATGGAGATGTTGACATGACAGTTAAAATATTGGCATAATTATATATTTAGTCATCATTACTTACATATTTTACCAATTTAATCATAATTTGAATTTAATTCAGAAAAATTAATCCTCCAATCAAGAGGCGATATATATCAACATAATATTATAATACATTTCACTAGTGGCATGTGTCACCCACTGATTAGAGAGTTAATTTATCCAATTAAAATATTAAAATTAATTTAAAAAAAACTCTCCAACCAGCTGGTGAAACATGTCACTAGTGAAATGTATCACAATATTATGTTGATTCGTGTCACCTCTTGATTGGAAGAATAATTTTTTGAATTAAATTCAAATTAGGACTAAATTGATAGAATATATAAGTAATGAAGACTAAATATATAATTATGCTAATATTTTAACTGTCAAGTTAGCATCTCCGTCAAATATTAACAGCTAGTGGTTTAATTGATTATAATTAAAATATTAGGTGGTCTGATCGATAAAATTAAAAGAACAGTGGTTAAAATAAAATGAGACAATAATTAAGTGGTCATTGATTTAATTTACTCTTTTAAAATTTCAGAGAAACTACTTTCCCAACCAACCCTCGGTCCATTCCTGTATAGGGAGGTTGGTTTGGTTGTCTTCATGTCTTTGTTTTTGCGTACGTTTACCATTGGGAGGGATTTGGGATCTGGTTTTACTGCTACTGCAACAGCAACAGCAACAATACTGCAAGATGAATTCAATGGCTGCAAAACACAACGGGGGAAGGAAAGCTGACTAATAATCTAAGAGAGGAGGGTTTATTGGGATCACTCTCCATGGAATGTGTTGGATTGGAATATTTGGCTCCGTGCTCTTCCATGTAGGGCGGCTCCACCGGTGAACATTTGGCTGACACAAGGATTCTGATGGTGGGATAAGTACAAGATATTCTCATCGTAATCCCTTGACTGCTGTTTTGTATAATGGGAAGTTCAAATGTAGG